TTTTTAAATTAAAAAAAAAAAAAAGTCTCCCACTAGGGGCAGCGTGAAGGATAGGATTTGAGGGAGGCAAAACCTGAGTTAGGGAGGTAGCTTTGTGAAGGACTCCTACCTGCTTTGCAAAACTCCAAGCCTCCAAGATTTAATATTAGGATAAAAACTTGGACAGAGGTTCTAGTTACCCTGTTTTCAGTCTTTATTTTTGGACCCTGCTTTCTCCTTCAGGTTCTCTAACATTCCTGAGAAGTTACTGAGACTGTTGCCATCTCAGACCATGCTTCCCAAAAAAATCACTGTGTCCATATGCCTGTAGGTCTGCGTAGGTATTTGCATTTCACACAACCTCCCACATTCCACTAGATTTTAAAAGTAGAATTAGGGTTTGATGACTTCAAATTAGCATAAAGAAGGAAAGAAGCCAGGTATGGGGTACATACCTGTAATCTCTGTGCTCTGGAAGGCTGAGGAAGGAGGAGCATAAGGGTTTTTTGGTTTGTTTTTTTTTTGTTACCGGGGATTAAACTGGGGTCCTTGTGCTTGCACAACAGGCGGCAAAACCACTGAGCTAAATCCCCGGCCCAGGATGACAAGTTTTGAGACCACCCTGGGCAATTTGGCAATTTAGCAAGGCAGTGTCTCAAAATAAAAAGTTAAAAGGGCTGGTATATCACTCAGTGCAAATGCCTTAGGTTCAATCCCTAGTACCACGAAAAAGTTTTTAAAAAGAGTGGGTGGGGGAAAATAACAGGAACATAGAGTGATTTAGAAGTAGCTAGATTGAAAAGTATTCAGCTTTAGTGCCTTTTACTGAGATAGGCAACACTAAAAGGAAGGTAAACAGATTTGGCCTGGAAGGTAATGAGTTGAATTCTGGATAATATTGAGTTTGAATATCTGTGGAATAAACAAGTGGAGATAGTACTGTAGGTGTTAGAAGCTATCTAAAACTTAGGAGGCGCTCATACTAGAGATGGAGACTTAGGAGTCTTTCACATAGACAGAATTTTGATTGTCAGTGGAAGAAAGCAGTATCTAGAGTTGAACAGACTTGCTGTAGTATATGCACAAAGGAAAGGATCATAGAGAACTTTGGCAGAGACAAGGAAAGTGCTGAAGAAAGAAGAAAAGGTAGAAACAAAACCAAACATCTTAGTCATAAACAGGACTAGGAACATTCTTCACCTGAATTAAAGCTAGAGAGATAGAGTTGCTTATCTAATAACCTTTTCTCCTACTTTGTAAAGATATGGTATCTCTCTGTATTAAAAGGAAAGAAGTGTGAATGAACTGTGGATTTGAGGAGTGATTAAACTTTATGGGAAGAATAGGGAAGAGAGTTTGTCAGGGGTCTACATTTCTTATTTAAATGTTTTAGAATACT